TTTTTATTTCGGACGTTGTTTCTTTAAGAAAATCCTTAAGATTTTCGTGACCGGAGTCCTAAACGGTAAAGGACTCGTACATAATGGATAAACGTCGAAATTAAGCCTTCAACCGCAGGAGACCTTTCGTTCAAACTCGCACCTTTCTTCTTCTTGCGCGAACGTACGCGTACATCTACGCGAATGTTCATGTCCGATCACAAGGATTTTCGACTCTATAAAATAGAGTCTCGTGGTATGGGTTGATATATAGATTCTCGAGTGCTTGTTCTGAATTAACGTCTTATCCGATTGAAGTATTTCGTATACCCCGAAATAACTTTGATCTGAAAGCGTTTCGTACGCGATTCGTTATTCTATCGAGTTCTTCGTTTAACACTGCTTCGCAGTGTTCTTCATCTTTTAATTCCAACAGAGTGCTCTCTTTGTAAACTTTACACTAATCATAACTAGTATCACACCTATGCGTTGCACAAGATATATTTAAGTTACTAAATTACATTAACATCATTCTGAATTTTGTATGGATTACTTTCCGTGCAACGCCCATTTTAGTTATTTATTTGAATTTAGATCGTTATATTATTAAGTTCTCAACTTTAAAATTTTGGAAAATTTACTTTCCGTACAACACATAGGTATGAATCTAGTTAAACATAGACAATATGTCGAGAGTTTGAAACCATTTAAAATTGGTGTTAATATCTTGCAGCCTTGAGTGAATGACTAGTGCTTGTTTTCAAACCATTTGTGAATTAATGATTTGGTAAAAATTAGCACTCGTGAACTCAACATCAAACTAAGTGCCTTATCTATATTAAAAATCATCTCATTTTACTTTTTAGTCTATTCTTCTCGTAACCTCTCTTCAGAGTGTTTGCACACAATTTACATATTAATTTAACTCTGTTTTAGTTCTTTTGAATGTTTACTTTTATTTTTTATTTCAAAACACCCCAATTGTGTGTGTGTGGGGTTGAGATTACAATTTACTGAAATCAGATTTTTAAAAAATATGGAGTACAATTTACTGAAATCAATTTATCTAGTAAGGTTTTAAATTTGAGTACCTAAAAGCTACTCTACAATAGGCTCCCATAGCATATGGTATCTTAAGAACTAGGACCAATACACACCCCTCACCCTTGCTATCAAACTTGCCTCCACCCACTTCTCTACCACATATTTATCTCTACCTATTCTCCACCCACCCTCTAATTTTAATTTTCTTGCCTCCCTATCACATGTTTATGTAGGGAGCATGGGTGGTAGCAAGGGTGGGGGGTTTTTAGCATTTTCCTAAGAACTAACATTTTGGTTTTTTCATTGATCACCATCTGATATATATACACGCTATGGGAGATGCTAGAGGTACACCAAAGGTGTATTCCAAATATACACCACTTGCCTTTACACCATTCATTTTATTTTGTTTTTATTTTTTATTTTTTTTTGAATTTTATTTGCCTTTTTTGTGGTAATAGAAGGGGTGAGGGATATTTGGGGTACACTTTTGGTGTACCCCTAGCATTTTCCACACGCTATACAAGACTCTCGGCCCAACTAAACTACCGGCCCATACTACACAATATTACATTAAGTACAATATATATTCCAATAATACAGTTTCAGTTTCAATTCACTAATCACTCCTTAATTGTTTTTATTAAACCAGAGGCTAAAATCCACCATTGATCCTTCAACTTTATAAGTTGTGAATGATTAGTCCTTCAAGTTTCAAAAGTCCGTAAATAATCATTCAACGTTATGAGTTGTGCACGATTATTGGTCCTTCAAGTTTCAAAATTTCATAAGTAGTCTTTCAGGTATCCGTCAGCCCTCTAGATGAGTTTCTTTTGATAGTAAATATTAAAAGCTTAAAATGAAGTACTAGTTTCATATAATACGAGTAAATTCCACTAAATACAACTACTTTGTATTATATGGAGCTAGTATTTCATTTAGCTTTTAACGTTTACTATCAAAAGGACCTCATCTGAAGGGCTAACGTGTACTTGAATGACATAGACTTTTGAAACTTGAAGGACCAATCGTGCATAATTCATAAAATTGAAGGACTGTTCATAGACTTTTGAAACTTGAAGGACCAATCGTGCATAACTGATAAAGTTAAAGGACCAATAGTGGAATTTAGCCCTTAAACCAGATAAATTTTACTGCATAAATTCTACTTTTTTATTTCCCTTATACGGAGTACAAACTTTGCATTTATCTCCATTTTTAATAAAGAATAATATACCTGTCATGTGGCTTTTAGTATCTTTCTCAATAAACTCCAACCACACTTTTTGTTCAACATATAAATCAGTCCTACAAGAAAACAATGAATATATGAAATTAGACCCAAATTTGCGTGCGTCTGTGGTTCTCAGAGTGTGGGTAATACTCCCTAGGCCCCATGAATGGGGGGGAGCGGGGGGGGGGGGCAAAAATCTAGTGTGATTAATACTTTCTCTATTTTATAGAAATATTTCATCTTTGACTTGACAACAAGAGAAAAAAAATAAAATTATATGGTTGAAAGTGACAAATTGAAGAAAGAATAACGGTAGCAAAATTGTTTTCAAAAGGGAAACTTGCGTAGAGCCATTTTTTTGGAACCGATGTAAAAGGGTATAAGAAACATTTTTTTGCGAAGAAGAAATAATGATCAAAAAGAGAAGAAAACAATTGAGGTAAAAAATTAACTTAGTATCAGGGAAAGGTCTGCGGTCTGCGGACCACTATCGTAGACATCTGCAGGAGAAGTGGTGGACCGAAGGTCTGCGGTCTGCAAGAAGAAGACTGTTTGTTTTTTTAATGTCTGTAGACTGCTATATAAATTAATGGTGGTAGTGTACGGTGGTGGTGTATGGACGATTGTGGTGGCGGTGGACGTTGACGGCGGTGGTGGTGGACGGTGGTGGTGGCGGCGGTGGATGGTGGCGGTGGTGGTGGACGACGATGGTGATGGACGGTGACGGTGATGGTGGATGGTGGTAGTGGTGGACGGTGGCGGTGAACGGTTGTGGTGGTGAAGAGAAGATGTTAGAAGATGTTAGAAGACATTGGTTAATGTCTTCTCCAAGAAGATGCCAGAAAGACATTTTTGAGTGAAATGTATTCCAAAAAACAAACAATCTGCAGAGTCAATCATCTGCACGCATCTGCGCGGCGCAGACAAAAGACGCCAGAAGGTTTTCTGGCAGAAAAACAAACACCCCCTTATAGTGGGTGGATGTTGAAGATTGGAGATTAATTAGCGGGACAAAGATATCTTGTGGTTGACCATGTTAGACCTGCAAGGAGAATCTGTAAGATTTGGCCTCCCAAATCCCTTTGTCCACATACACGTCTTTACTTTTAATAAGGCACTCTCACATACCCATCTGGTTACAAATGGAGTAAGCTAAGATTATTGTAAGAAAGAAAATCAATACTTTGGAGTAAATGAATTATGTTTTAGTCATATTCAATGTAAATTTCACTATTTATTTAATAATATGATCATCTGAGATTAACATCAATCTAAATTTTGCAAATGAAGTAGCAATTGATGAACAGAAGAAATATAATCTTGGCTTAGCAAGAAAAGATCACAAAGCTGGAAGTGATTCAGAATTACACAACATTTGGCTACACAAGCTAATTAATTGATAAAGCCACCTTTCCAAAGATCCCTTCTTGAGGGGAAATTGAACAGAGGAGAGAGTGAAGAAGTGCTCTTTCTTGGGGTGCAAATTGGGACATTGATTACAGGCCTTACCCTTAAGGGTGCAGATTTATTTCCCCCCTTCTCCATCTTCATCGTCTTCTTCTCGGGCGGTTTCTTCCTGCTTCCCTGCTCAGGCAGGGAATCGGGCATAGAACCGCCGCCTGAAGAAGAAGACGAAGACGTTGAAGAAGACGGAGACAATGAAGAAGATGAAGAAGCTTTGTTCTTCTTCCTCAGCCTCAGCAGCTCTTTCCACAGAACAGTGCATTTCGACAGCCGGGGAGACGGGTTGTCGTGGTCATCAAGAAACAAGCCCACCGCATCCTCGTCGGATCTTGGCTTCTCCGGCGCTTCCTCTCCGCCGGCATTCCGGCAGATCTTGTCGGCGGGAAGATGCATTTGCCAGAAGGGGAGCAACTTTCCCACGGAGAAGAGCTGGTCTGCGGTGATCATCATAGTGTTGTTGATCTCGCCGGAGAGGAATTCGAACTCTGTCGGATTGCTGCGGCGGCCTTTCTCATTGTCATTGTTCTGTTCATCTGATCCGGCGGCCGGGCATATTGATATGAAATCTTTCTCCTCCAGAAAATCTGCGGAGAAGGAAATCCTTGGGCTGGATACAGGAGGCTCCATTACACTTTGTTTCTTACTCCTACTTACTTTTCAGCTCGATCACTTCCTTTTCTATTTAGTACAAATATTTCAAAAATATAACTACTTCCTCCGGTCCCTCGTAGATCAAACCTTTTTTTATTTTCAATTATTCTTACTTACTTTATTTATTACACTCCATCTAACTCATTTAATAGACTCCACCTATTTTTATTAAGGATATTTTGAGAAACTTTTAACTTTTTCAACTCACTTTAAAAATTATAAAAAGTCAAAAAGAGAACATCTTAGAAGGACGGCGAGAATAAAAAAATTACAAATATTTTATAAAATAAAACGTGACATGACTACTTTTTTTTTATGTGAAATGATCAATGAAAATATGTGATGAAAAAAAATTTAGTTTTAGTATGAAAATATGTTATGAATTATGATATGTACAAGCTTGATTGCATTGATTTCCTTGTCACTAGGCCAACATGCTTCTACAATATCTTTCTAATTATGTTCTCATTTTTTAATAATTTTTTCAAATTAAGTCCACATTTCCGTTCGTCAAAGACAATAATACCCCTACAAGTTTGTCAAATCTTAAATATTACGCTTAACACTTCGCCAACAATTTCTAATTAAGAGCATATATATATATATATATATATATATATATATATATATATATATATATATATATATATATATATATATATATATATATATATATATATATATAGAAAGTCAACTAAAATATACTGTTAATTTTAGTCATCTTTTCCTCAAAGATCCTCAAAACGCTACACTAACAAAGGGTTAAAAGTAGTAACATTTCAAGTTTTAAAGAACTTAATTGGTATTTAATGACTCATAGAACTAACAATAGAAAGTACTCCTTGGCCGCCCCGTTTGACATCGGCTTTGGAGGTCAACGTTAGCGTTTTTGAAAAGGCTATCTGACGGTAACATTTAATGTTAACATTTTCATATAATTCACATACAGTGACAAAATTTTTATTCGAAATGCTAACGCTAATTCAATTTGATGTTCTCAAACGGGATCCATATTAATACGGAGTACTAGGTACTCGTATAAATGTCAATAAACTTTCATGACATAATACTCCCTTCGTCTAATTTTATAAGCCCTGTTTCAGTTTACGATATTTAACTAATGTTATTGTCTATTCAATTAATAAGATAATTGGAGTAGAGTTAAAAAATAAAATTTACATATTTAAAAAAAAAATCAAAAACTCTACAAAAATATGTAAAGAATAGGAATAATGTTTAACCATTTAAATAGTGTACACACCATTTAATTTGGAATTTTAACTTGGAATAAAGTAGATTCAATGTGGATTTTTTTGAGTAGAAATGTGGAATATTTAAATACAGGCCCCGTTTGGTACACGAAATTCAAACTATGGAATTGGAATTGAGGACATCAATTCTAATTCTCGTGTTTGGTAGCACAAAAATTATGTGGATTTGGAATTGTTAGTGCATAAAATGAATTGGAATTGGTGAATTCAATTTTATGGAATTCAATCTCATGGAATTTTAATTCCAATTCAATTCCAATTTCATCAATTCCGTGTACCAAATGGACCCATAGAGAAACGTGGAATTTACTTACGAATTGAATTAATAAATGGGAGTGGTCCAGAGAAGGTTAAAGAAATGAACAAAGAGGGTATGTTTACGATGAAACAACACATGCACAACTTTAGGGCCAGTGACAGGGAGCAATTCCCTCAGTGGGAAGATTTGGAAAAGCAAATTCCTCACCCCAACTTTCGCATGTATAACATGCAATTTCTTTTTTTGTTTTTGTTTTTTTTGTTTCGCATGTACTACATGCAAAAACATCAACATCAAACTTTTTCTCAATTTTTTTAAAAATGATTTCGCATGTAGTACATGCAAAATTAAATAAATTCAATTTTTTTTTTTTCATATTTAAAAATTTAAAAAAACATCAACATCAAACTTTCATCACTCAAACTTTTTCCCAGTTTTTTTTAAACGATTTCACATGTAGTACATGCAAAATTAATGAAATTCAATTTTTTTTCTTTTTTCAAAATTTAAAAAAATTATCAAATTAAGAATTTTTTTGTTTCCTTCATATTTCAAAATTTAAAAAAATTATCAAATTAAGAATTTTTTTTGGTTTCCTTCGTATTTCAAAATTTTAAAAAAATTATGAAATTAAGTTTTTTTGTTTCCTTTATACTCGGGGTACTCCGTAATTCATAAAAACCGATAACAAATTACCAATTGAAAAAGTTATCAAATTAACAATTTTTTCGTTTCCTTTATAATTTACAATTAAACATAACAAATTACCAATTAAAAAAGTTATACTCCCTCCGTTCCTGATTATTTGTCTACTTTTATTATTACAGACTATCCAATGCATTTTTTTAATCTATTTTATCTTAAAATTTGTATATTAAAAAATTCTAGAAATTATATATTAATAATGTATATGTTAAGATGAATCGAACAAAATTACACATGACTATATTTAGGCATACACATTAAGATTACACTATATTTATTCTGTAAATGTCGCAAAACTTCTTATGTTTCCATACCCGACTAGAACGATGAGTATTCTGTAAATGTAACATATCATCTATTCTAGGACCCACTATTTCTCCCCATCTCTTTTTCTCTTTCCATGTCATCCATTTTTGCACTGCAAAAATAATAATAATAATAATAATAAAACGTTGTGCACTACCCTAAAGTCTTTCAAACAAAATTGGAATTAAATAAGGTTTTAATACTACGTTTTAATACTATTTAGTACTCCCTCCGTCCCCCATAGATCTTTCCAATAGCTCTTTTTCTTTGTCCACAATAGATCTTCTCATTTCATTTTTTAACAATTAAAATACCACAACTACCCCCACTTACTTTATTTATTACACCTCACCTACCTCATTTAATAGACTCCATCCATTTTTCATTAAAGATATTATGGTAAACTTTCACCTTTTTTCAACTCTCCTTAAAAACCACCAAAAGTCAAAATAAGAACATCTTAGGGGGACGGAGGGAATACTATTTAGTACAAATATTTCTTAGTCATTATTCAAGTCAATGTTCGCTATCACTAAACATTATGGACATTATTAAGTGCTATTTAGGGAATAAAATTGTTTAAGTGCCATTTAAGGAAATGACTTTGCTATTTAGTGCAAATATTTCATAGAATTATTCTCCATCATTATGAAATTATTCTCCATTATTATTTTTCTACATTTACAGATACATACATGTATATGATACTTCCTCTTTTCTAAAAAATATTTTCTCTTTTATTTTTTTATTTCCAACAAAACATTTCCATTTTTATTAAAAAACAACTTTTATTCTTATTTTTCATATCATATCTGTTACATCATATTTTTT